GAAAAACTATAATAGCAGAGAGGGAAAAAAAAGAACTAGGCCAACGCATTTCCTCATCGCACTTTTGTTCAGAGCCAGAGTGACGTAACTGAAAGCAGCAGAAGCGGAGGAGCAGAGCATGAGAGGCGCTTGTCACTGCCCTGGCAAGTTTCACAGTCAGTAATTCATACTGTAACATTCGTTTGTTCGTTGTGTCAAGTTGCAGTTTGTTTGAAATAACAAACCTGTTCACCCGAAGGAACACTCGACGAAGTGCTATTAGAAGACATCTCGTCATAGCTTTTTGGTACATAACGGCTACCGTAGATACAACACGCATTTGAAAAAGCAAGGCGCTGGAGAGCACAATTCGTTTGAATTCAAAATACAATTTCACCGCTAGATGGGAGAAATTCCTACACATTGTCCCTTTAAATACATGAGGATTGTAATCAATATCAAACGGAACAGACGTGGGAACTAATTCATAACCAGGGAAACTAACTAGGGAACACAGTCAGGCAAACAAGGAAACCAAAACACCATAATAATAATAAAACAGAACACGCATTTCAATTGTATAACAGAATGAGACACTAAAAAGTGTTCTTTCTTCATGTTGTGTTTACTAGTATTAAATTAAATTAAATTAAATTTTTCGTTATTTCATAATTATGTTATGAAGATATGCAAATTATGCAAATGAATGCAAATAAAATAATGCAAATTAGAACTGCATTTCATTTACCAAGTCTGACTCATTACACATCCGTTATGATTCTGCCCTTGTGTCTTTAATACTTCTCTTGTCTTAGGGTAGGATCATAACAGACTCATGTTTAGTGTGCAAGCGCGTGGCTCTTCTACAAGTTATCTCACCTGGAATGCCTGTACATTGTTTTAGTTCCTCCCCGACAGCAACATAGTGTCGGCCCCGATCTGTGGATTCCCCACGGCTCAGATGTGGGCAGGATCTGGGCCGACACTATGTTGCTGTCTGGGCTGGATCAACATCTGTGTTGGTCCTGAAACAACATTCCAGTCAAAACAGAACCCCACCCCGTACACAAACAATAAACTAGCCCTCAAATCCGTGGACAATTATTTGTTGATAAAGATGGTGTTCAAGCCCCTAATGTTAACCCAAGCCTAAACCTAACAGTAGCCCCAATCCTAACCCTAAAATTTGACTGGTTGATAAGGATGTTTTTCCAGGACCAACAAGGATGTAGATTCAGAAACTTCCTCCTTGACGAAATCACGTTCACCTCTATGTACATATTTTTCTGGGAAAGATGCAAATACTCCTTGCCACCTTGAATATCAAACATACCATATCTTAGTCATGTTTCCGAGAAGATAAAAGATAAAGATAAATTTAAGGTGACTTCAACTAAGAATCCAAACTGTTTAAGCTGTTATGACTTTTCTGAGAATTACTTCAATGAAGTCATTCTTCTTTGTTTTATGCATAAATGTAACAGAATACAGTGCAGGTTATGCTCAGAAACGGGCGTATGTGAGTGGAGCTGAGACGCGAGGGTTCACGAATAAGAAATGAGAAGCGCCCACAGTATCTGAATGCCAGTGTCTCCTCATCACAACTAACCCCTTCCTGATGCTTGGTGTGTTTTGGGCAGTGCACTGGGACTCTTTGAGGGACCTGTGAGGGTTTGAATGTCCTCTAAGAGCTCCAGCTGTATCTCAGCACCAGAACATCACAATAAACATGGGACTGGGCTTTTCTCATGTGTGTGTATGACAAACATCCTGACGCTCAGAGTTTCCTCATCAACACAACTCCTTATGTAATCAGATACTGGCATCAGGTCAAACCTCTGCAAACTAATGAAGAACAATCAAACTGAATGCCTCTGTGTATTTCACCCTGAATAACATTTATATAATAAAGCAAATCACTTTTTTTGCCTGTTCTGTCTCAATATTTTATCAAACTTTTTTTTAATTTTTTTTACATTTGCATACATATGTCTGTCAGTTTCTCTGTAGATCAGAATGAGTATGTAACTGGTAATAATAAACAAAACCAAGACATGACAGTGTATATGGGACACACTGTACCTGCGCACTCACACACACATCTAGTCTGACAACAATCCTGAATCTCTCTGAGTCATTCCTCCCGTCAGAGAATACAGTCTCTTATTGTACAGTCTTACTTTTGAGCCCATTTGAAAGGCAAATTCATGAAAAGGTCAGGCTGTATTTCCCTGTTGTCAATTCTCTCTCGTTTATTGTCCTCTGAATGTTACGATCAGGATGTCACTGGAAGTTTTGCAATCTTGTCCTGCTGTTAGAGACAATAAACTAAAGTCAAGACATTATAATCTATTAATAATAATACATTTTATATTTATATTTATACTTTATATTTAAGAAAAATCCCAAAGTGCTAAAATCTGTGCTAAACACTGTGTGTGATGAGCGAGACCTTGTACTCAATCCTGAGTGAGACAGGAAGCCAGTGAAGTGATTTTAGAATGGGGGAGATATGGTCGTATTTGCGCACTCTCATCAGGATCCAGCGCTGTTCTTTATCAAGACTTTTATTAAGACTCAACGGCAGCAGGAATATAAGAAATCATTCAGAGAAATGTTTTAAGTGAAACAGGTGGAACAGAAAAGATTGCTTCTACTGTTTATGACGTCCAAAATGTCCTTCACTATTCAAAAAATGTCCTCATTAGTTCAACCTCCCTTGTGAAAAAGAAGTGTGCTTAATTGTATTGAAAGCATACTTTTTGTGTGCTTAAACTCATAAAAGTATACTTTTTGAAAAGTGTACTTGCAGATAATATAATATAATTAAAATTAAAGACCACTTAAGTGTACTTAAAGGGAATACACTTTAATGACAATATTTATTAACACACTTAAGTGCACTTTTACAAATGGACTTTGTAATAATATCTAATTAAGTTTAACTTAAAGTAAGTACACTTTCATGACAATATTTCTAAACACACTAAAGTGTACTTTTTAAAAATGCACTTTGTAATAATGTCTAATTAAGTTTTACTTAAAGAAAGTACACTTTCATGATCATATTTCTAAACACACTTAAGTGCACTTTTTACAAATGCACTTTGTAATAATATCTAATTAAGCTTAACTTAAAGTAAGTACACTTTCATCACAATATTTCTAAACACACTTAAGTGCATGTTTTAAAAAAATCACTTTTTAATTGTGTCTAAGTTTTACTTAAACATACATGTTAAATAATTATGAATTTATAGTGTTTTAAAGTTATTAAAGTTATAAGTTATTAAATGAAATTTATTTTGATGTATTGACTAATATACTAAATAAAATAATATTTTTAATGGAAAACATGGAAAGTAATTCACTTTAATTTCAACTCAAGTGTGTTGTCCAAAAATAATTTGTTCATGTATTTTAAATGTGTTTAGTCTATAATATATACTGTGTGCATTAATGCACTTGGAATGTATTTTTCCAATAAATTTGCAATACAGTATAATCCAGGACAACCTATTGTTGACATTTTTGTCAGTTTTCTACATAATATTTGACAATAAAATTTAATTTATGAGAGGAGTCTTAGCAGTAATGTGTTGTACTTTACATCTGTGAACAGAATACTTTCAATATCATTATGTTGTTCTAAGTCAATTAAACACATTTAATTGCAATCTACACTACATTGAACAAAAATATTGACTTTTAGTTAGATGAAAGAGTAAAGTTTTGTGAACTTACAGAGTCTAACAACACAATTGAGTTAGAACAACTTCAACTTAAACAGAAAAGCTAAAATGAAAATATACTCTATACGAACATGGTGTTTAATGAGCATGCGCCAGAAATACTACGTCATGATGACGCACTACTTCACTAGAGTTTGAAAAATGCGCTGTTATGTTTCTGTAATGGCGGTGCATGAGGAAACTGAAGCTTCCCAAACAAAAGGAGCGCCACGTTTGGCTGTTTGCAGATGAGATGTTATACTGCAAATAATCAGTCAAGTAAGTATATCTTGATGCTTTCTTTATTGAAATTTTTTTCACCGCAGTTGATATTGCGATTAAGAGTGCTTTTTAATCGCAGATAGTAAAGTTATACGCAATAGATTCGGGAGGTAAATTAATCATGTTTCCACTAATTTATCTATGATTGCATTCTAATAATGTCTTACATCGTAATGTGCTCGCGTGTGTGGGCGTGTTCGAGGAATTTGTCTACTGAAATGTGTTTTTTATATATATATATATATATATATATATATATATATATATATATATATATATATATATATATTCATTTATTTATTTTAAACCGACTTTTAAAAATAATTTTAAACAAACTAAATGACTTAAAGTTAAATTTGCATGCTGAATGCTGATCCAATTGTAACTCTCGAAGTCATTTATATTAATTAATCTTAACCACCATAACGTTACATATTTAATATATCACCCACCTCTAGAAATAATGCTTGTAATGTATTTAATTTCGTTTTGCATTTGAAGAGTGAGTTGTTCATTTACTATTTGTTTTGGAATATGTAATATTTTTGTGCTTATCTGGATTAAACATTCATTTTGCAGGATCAGTTCACATTTGTTATTGGAGATACAGGGCAAGCGGTGTGGAATCACAGACCTGTATTGATGAGGTGATGTTACAAGAGTTATTATGAATTTTTGCCCAGCCAGCACACCTCTATCAAGCTAAAACACTGCTATCAAGTCCCTAACTATCCCTATAGCTTTTAATGCTTTGTATCTTTTCCATTTGCAAGTTATAGATTCCCACCTGTGCATTTACATATGCCCCTATAATCATCATATATTTTACAGGTAACAAACCAAATGAAGAAGGCTGCCGCATTACTGTGTCAACCGTGGTAAATACAGGAACATCCTTCATGAAGATACGTGCGCAAGCTTAAAATTCAAGATTACCTTTCTCAATTTGCATGGGTCATTAACCTATATTTGTGTAATTGATAAAGTTATGTTTAAAATCCTTGTAAAGTAGCAAAATAAATGTTCTCTATTTTTAATAACTTTAGGCCCAGTGTCAGTGAAGATGGCGTGGTCAGTGCAATCCTGGTGTTTGTGGGAAATAGAGGAACCTTGCCCAGCTTTCTACTACGGTGTGACCCTGATGAGGTAATTCATCACATCAACAGTTAGCAGTCAAAAGTTTACGTACACCTTGCAGAATAAACTGCTTCATCAGGGTAGTACTAAATAAAAAGACAACATAGACATTTTTGTGTTCCCTCTTATTGCTAAAATAAAGACTAAAATACTGCAAGGTGTATATAAACTTTAACGGGAAAATATCTATCACTTTCATTCATTTGAGCCAAATATAATAATGGACTGGATCTGTTTTATAAACAAATGTTTTCCTTCACTTTTTTTTTTCTCAAGGTATTTTTTTCTGACTTTCCTGCCTCTTTGGAACAAATCCATTCACATTTACTTTGGAGAGCACCGGGACATTGACATAAACAGCACTTTCCAACTACTTCAAAACATTTGGTGACAAATGATTTTGGTTTTCTTGTTTTTGTGCCTTTAGATTTCTTCAGTTTTTTTTTTTTTTTTTTTTTTTTTTAGACAACCTTATATTCACTGTAATGCTGGAGTAAGCATTTTGTCCTGTTTAATGTTGGTGCTATAAAAAAAGGTTTAAGAGCTAAAATTAACAAGGTTCGGTAACACTTTAATTAGGTCTCATTTGTTAATATTAGTTTATGTATTAGCCAACATGATCTAAAAATGAGCATATTTTTACAGTATTTATGAATCTTTGTTAATATTAGTTAATTAAAATATAGTTTGTTAAAGTTAGTTAATACAATTTATAGTCATTGTTCATGCGAGTTCACAGTGCATTATAATTTTAATACACAACTTTTGAATATAATAATGGATTATTAAATTTTTAAATTAACATTAACTAAGACTAATAAATGCTTAAAGTATTATTCATTCTTAGTTCATGTTAACTGAAGGAGTAAACTAATAATACCTTTTTGTAAAGCATTACCCGTTTGAATCTTAGTGTTCACATTTTGCAGTAGAACGTCACATCACATTTTGTTTGTATTAATTCATGGGTTGTGTGTTTGATGTACTGTGTGTTTGCTTCTAAAATGATGTTTGTACTGGTAATCCCTAGGTTATGGGGACCAAATTACCCCAAAAGTATAGTAATACCAGTAAATTACATGGAAACAATCTTATAAATCATACAGAATGATGTTTCTGAAAATGTAAAAACACAAAAATGTTTTCTGTGATGATAGGTTTAGGTTTAGGTACCTTTGTATGAGGGAGAAAATGATTGTGCATATAAGCATCATTGCCCTCCAGACTCTTTCTAAATGAGAGTTAAAGGGATAGTTCACTTTAAAATGAAAATTCTGTCATCATATACTCACCCTCAACTTACACTTAAGTGATCTTATGAATCACTGACAACTCTTAAATAACTGGTTTGTAAATAATGCTATACTTCATTTAGAAATTATTAATTGATCATTAACAAAGTATGAAAATATAATTATTAAACACATTATAGATATGCTTATAAATCAAGAAAAAGCATGTATAGCTGTATTTATAAACTTCTTATTAATGTCTATTAATGCTTTATAAATGATGAATTAACTGTTAACTCATGCTTAACTAATGAATAATAGTGTGCAGTTATTATAAAGTGTTACCTTTCTTTCTTCTGCTGAACACAAAGGAAGATATTTTGAAGAATGTCAGTAACCAAACAGTTAACTGGTCCCATTGACTTCCATAGTAGGAAACAAAATACCATGGAAGTCAATGGGACCAGTTAACTATTTGGTTACTGACATTTTTCAAAATATATTCATTGTGTTCAGCAGAAGAAAAATTCATACAGGTTTGAAACAACTTAAGGGTGAGTATATAATGACAGAATTTTCATTTTAAAGTGAACTATCCCTTTAAAGTGTTGTAACTGTTTATATATAGTGTTTCTTGGGTTTTTTCTTGTGCATCAACAGAAAGGTTTTTATGTATTTATTTTAGAGATTGTTTTGTCAGTAAATGTGGAGGGTTTTAAATTGAATTTGTGTTGATTGTAGCTAGGTTATTAATACTTTTTTTTGTTCAAATTTGAAATAATTTGCAACTTTATTTATTTATTTTTAATTACAAATGTATTTAATTATATAATAGGGTACATGTATATTACATTAAAGTATATTTTAGTTCACATTAATTGCTTGTCAGTATATTTGGAAGTACACTTTACCATATTTCAAAGTTCATATACAAATGTATTAAAATCCCACTTAATTTGTTCCAAAAAAACACTCTTAATATCAACTAATAGCATTTAATTTGAGCTTAATCTGTGATACATTTGAAATCAATTACATATAATATGCGATAAGTTTGTCGAAAACATTACACTTAATTCACATTTAAGTGTATTGTTAACTGACATTAAAGTACATTTTAGTTTACATTAATTGCTTGTCAGTGCATTGAGCAGTGCACTTTAAATACATTTTAAATAGACTAGAAGCAATTTTGAAAGTAAATATAAAGTTGTATTAAAGTCCCACTTAAGTGGTACCAAAAAATCACTCTTAATGACAACTTATTGCATTTTATTTGAACTTAATATGTGATATATTTGAAATCAATTACACTTAATGTGCATTCAGTGTGGCGAAAACATTGCATTTAATTCACACTTAAGTGTATTGTTAACTGACATTATAGTATATTTTAAAACACATTACTTGCGTGTCATTATATTGTGTAGTGCACTTTAACTGTATTTTCTGGAAGCAATTGTGAAAGTATATATAAAGTTGTATTAAAGTACCAATTAAGTTGTTTTAAAAAAATCACTCTTAATGGCAACTTATTACATTTTATTTTAACTTAATATATGATACATTTGAACTTAATTACACTTAATGTGCATGAAGTGAGTTGAAAACATTGCATTTAATTCACACTTAAGTGTATTGTTAACTGACATTAAAGTATATTTTTAATCACATTAATTGCGTGTCATTATATTGTGTAGTGCACTTTAACTATAATTTAAATACACTAGAAGCAATTATGAAAGTATATATAAAGTTGTATTAAAGTACCAATTAAGTTGTTCCAAAAAATCACTCTTAATTGCAACTTATTACACTTTATTTCAACTTAATATGTGATATATTTGAAATAAATTACACTTAATGTGCATTCAGTGCCCCGAAAACATTGCATTTAAGTCACACTTAAGTGTATACATTTAAAGTGTATTATTTTTGTAATAAGTACACTTTAGAAAAGTACACTAAAGTGCACTTTTTTTTCACAAGGGCTGTCAAACACCAAGTGATCCAGATCTCAGTATTCAAATAGGCCAGATCATGTTTCTATTTAAATCTAATAAAATCTAATGATCACTATTATCACTGACAAAACATGAGATCATTTATCAACGAGGACATCTTATCCCGTCTGTGTGGGAATCAAACTTTAACTGTCATTATTACTAGTGTCATGATCGACTGCTTACAGGAACTTACACTGTTTCTGCAGTCGCGGCTTCATCTGTGTGTTTGCAGTGCTGATAAACAAAGGTGAACATCTGAATAACTCATGTTATCATGACTCATGTCAAATTCATGCCATGTGAATAGTATAATTAAGAATAAATATTTAGTGTCAGGACTCAAGAACAGAGCTGAAACTTTTCCTGATGAGTTTCTGAGAGAAATATCTCCAACAACCTGATGCAGGAAATTACACTTGCTTCATCACAAACCCTTATTCTAAGCAGGAGACAGCGGATCAATAGTGTGTACAACTGGTTGATTAATATATGATGATTTTAATGATTTTAATTTTAAAACGTTCTAAATACAAAAAGTGTTTGACCAACTGGTGAACAACTGATGCTCAGCCTGAATGCTGCTGTATGTAAATTATAGGAAAGAGGAAACAAATCCACTAAAAATCAAGAAGAAGATACAGGAGCTGAAGACAGTGTTAACATAATAACCTTTAATATTTGCATTGCGTCAGCATTGTTCTATTATGAAATATGTAATTATGGTTTGTTTCATAATATTTCTCTTGAAAAAAAAAAGAACTTAAGTGGACTTCTGTTTATAAATGACAAACAGGTATAAGCTTTTTCTGATTGTTTTTTGATTTTTGTCATGATCCTGGTATCCTTCTCCTTTACTCTATCTCCCTCTGCTGGTCATATTTGTTATTGCATCCTCGTACACACACTCATTCACACTCATTATCTCATTCATCTCCAGCCTTTCTCATTATCCCATCTGTTCCTCCTCTCTGCACCTGTTTCCCACTTTCTCTAATTCTACTCCCTATTTCTAGGCTTTCCTTTTCCTTTGTTCTTTGTCAGATTATTAGCAAATGCTGTGTATACCTGCTCATTGATCCAGTGGTTTTGTACTCTGTCCTGTCCTGTCTTGTCTTGTCTTGTCTGCTGTCAGAATTATTCAGATGACACTGTGCTTCGCCTCTGCTTATCCAAAGCCTCGGTAAACGTGTGTGGTCTTCGGTTTGGCGTTCCCGCACTCTCTCTAAGGACCCAGCCTGTCCCAATCATCTGGGATTCCTGTTTCGGCTGAAGCCAAGAATTTCTGTTTTATTAATTAAGAGACTTTTGTTACATTAACCAAGGACTGTCTTCTGTTCAAGTTTTGCCAAGCGGCCACCTGTGTTGTTTCTCCTGAACTGAGATTAAAGAATATCAGCTCACCTTTGCGTTTGGGTTCTCTGTTCACTCACCTGACAGTTTTATCTTAATTGATAGATCATTAGATTAATATAATAGTTTTGTCCCATTATATTCTTGCCAAATGCATCACATTATTTGTATTGTGTAACACAACAAGATCTTCAAACACTGAATAAGGAACATGTTTTTGCTGTATCTGAAGGAAATTAGTTTGTCAATAGTTTGCTATCTTTACCACAATATTCTTTGTCACGCTGCGTTTGCCAGTATTAAATGTATTTTGTATCATTTCATGTTAGAACTGCGCATCATTTACCAAACATGTTCGTTAATTACTGATATCATGTCAATCAAAACGATGTATTTGAATGCACAGTGTGCAAAATATAAAACATAAAAACTGCTACACAGCTCTAACACTAATACTGTAAGATCATTTTATATATTTATAATTTTATTAAAACTGCACATTGTTTAGAAAAAAAATGATTAATTCCTGACTGCACATCAAATTAATTTTATGGTCCCAAATCCCATTATATATTTTTTCATGTCTTACTGTACGTCACTGATCCCAGGTTACTTCCTTGTGCGCTGAATATTGCTGAATTTTGACACTTTTCATGCACAATAGTAATGGCTTAATCAGAAGAGGAACAGAGTGAACCAAGCAAATGATCATAATGTCCAGAGACATGGTGTTGGGCTCTTTACATTAACTGGGGCTCTTTGAGGGCCCAATGAGGCTCTTGGTGTGTCTCAGTATAGAAATCTGTGGAGAAATAGGACTGGACTCTTCTTACTTGTGACAATGTTTATAACTACAGTATCCTGGAGC